ACGCAGACAGTCCATAAACACTAGAGAAATAACGAAGATGTTTAGGCTACTTAAAAAAACGTTGTATAGACCGTCAACTGTAGTTTCCTCCGAAACAGAGAAGACACAGCCTGTATGGAGTGGAAAGGAAACGGTACTTTCCAACGGAGAAAATTTTATATCAACTGAACACACAGACATTACATCGGAATATAAAGGTAACTTGAAACTTAATACAAACATAGTGAATATTTTAAATGAAATAGTGTAAAATACGAGTAACATTGTTTTTGCTATTTAAATTTTTTATTAGATTTGCCTTCAACAAGCAATGCTTCGACCCTTTCCAGCAACGCCATAAATCCAAAACTAAACATGAAATGTGTAGTTGTACTTTCAAGACTAGGTAAGAAAATAGTGAAAAACTAAAATGTATTTTTAAGGTTTCTTTTAATTACAGATACATACAAAAAAGGTAACCATCTCGGTCAGGCTTCGACAGATGATACTTCTGAACAAATTTTCCATTGGCTTAAAAAGAAACGTACATATTTGAGATTATTTGTAACATTTGAAGTTTAATGCTTTTTTTTTCATGTAGAAAGTATAGACGATAAAATTATAGGAGAAGAAACTTCAGCTGACCAGACTAGTTTATTAGAAAAGAGTATGCGCTCTACAGAAACTACAAACTATTCCTTTAATAGTGATGATAGTGTCAAAGATCCAAATTATGAAGTAACCGATGACGAAGAAGAGAGTTTTGAAACAAACTATAACAGTAAAAAATCGAAAAGTAATGTTACACTTTTGGCAATGTTTATTTTTCTAGGTTACAAATCAAAAACGGCAAATCTTCGGAGCATTGTTAAAAAAAATTTTATTGTGCTAGAAACAGAGACTTTAATATATAGACTGGCTGTGTCACGAAAAACGTGAAGTTTTTCGACCGCCATATTGCTTATAACCGTAAGTGCGCGAAATTTGAATTTTCCGGTCACAAAATGCAATTTAAAATGTTAAATAAAAAAGACAACAAATTGTAATTATTTATTTAGCATTAATTTCGTGAATTTTTGTCTTAAAGAGATAGCTTTTTCACGCGAAGTACTTAAGCGGCACTCATAACCTATTCCGAGAGTCAAATAATTTCTCAAAATTAATTTAAGCAATAAATAAAAACAAGAATTATTTACGTCCAACTAATCCATACTAAACAAATGTTCATTATGTAGAAAAAAAATGTATGGTCCTACTTTGCAAAGTTAAGGCAAACATTTTAGTTACCAAATCATTTTTAATGGCCATATTTACAAACAATCTCGTAAGTCCCGACATACAACCACTTTTATTTCGAGGTCTAGAAACGTTCTGTGCTAGAAACTACTGCTGCTAACCACCACAACCTCACTTAATTTGACATAAAAGTTATAACAATGGCGTCCATACTACCATGCGCCGTGGCTTCACCAAAATGCATTAGAAATGTTACTAACAGCCAGTCTAGGTATTTAAAGTCTCTGGCTAGAAACAACACAAAAAGGACTTGGTCTACTCCTGAAAAAAAAGATGCTAGAGAGATTTTTAAAAAATTTGAACCTAAAGGAAATTTACCATCCTTACAGATGTGTAAAAATTATATTACTGAACATCCTTCATTAACTGGAAGAACCCCTGCTCAGTTAAAGGCATGGCTGAATAACGAGTTCTTAAAACTTAAGCGTCAACAAATCAACACAACACCAACTAAAAATAGAACAGGTACTAGCGGAAAAGTAGTTTAACAGTAAATTATTAAATAGTGAAAAAACGAACACTTTGCTCTCGTATTGCATTTTTTTTTTTTAATGATGACCTAATAATTACGTATTCTGAGAAGGGTGATTCATGAAAAAAGGGATTGGATTTTTTAATAGGGTCAGAAAAAAAATAGTTTATATTGATTTTTTTACTAGTTTGCGTAACAGTGGCTGCGCCTAGTGATATCTTTCAAATTCACATTCTGCATAATATTAGGTGTTAATAACTTAATTTAAAAAAAATGGCATTTAAATAAAAATTACTAACTTTCGTGTGATTGTCTATATGTAAATCTTTACTCCAAACTAGTTTCGAAATCGTATATAAACTTCTAATACGCTTTTTTTTTTCTGTAGGGAACATTGCCTGGGTTACGCCTGAGAGACATGCATTAAGAGAGGCATTTAAGCAGCACATAAATAATCAAACGTTACCATCCTTAGAAGAATGTGCAAAAGTGAAATTGCTATATCCTACTTTGGGGAAAAGAGCAGATCAAATAATCAAAGCTCAAGTAAACAACGAAATTAAAAGGAGACTGAGGCTTTAGGATATTTCTTATATCTAATAAATATATATATATACACGATAGATATACATGTATTCATATATACTGTTCTCTTCTAGGTGTTACAAAAATTATCATTTGATGACATCGGATTAGTGTGCCGTGAAGATGAAACAATTTTAGGGTTAATAAAATTTAATGCCTCTGCTACAGCTAAAGAAACCCACGGGGACCACAATATTAGACAAATGGCACGAATGCTTGGTGGTTTACTAATTGAACTTCGGAAGTTACGTCCTGACGCTTTCGTAGATATAAAAAGTGTTTTACATCCTGATTATTACAATGAGATAATTCAAGCTATTTATAATATTTGTGGCCTGCATAAAATTACATATGATTTTAAAACTCCGAAAATGGCAATGAAGTATAGATCACTTATTACAAAATGTGTAGAATATTGGCAACGAGTTTATTTCAAGAAAAATTTAAGCTGTAACTCTGACGAAATGCAAACACTTCTAAATTTTAAAAAATTGTTTCATAGTGAATACAATGCAGATGTTAACAAAAGAGCTTTAAGGACAGCTCTTGAAAATAAACTTCGAAAAAAAAAAGATTTACCTGAAGTAAGCGATATATACAAGTATTCATTTTAATTAAAAAATAGAATAGAAATACTAGCAAATTTATTACGGCAAGACGGATTTAAGTATGGTGATTGGCTTGAATTTGGAAAAGTTTTGTTGCTACATCTGCAACTGCTAAATCGACGTCGTATAGGTGAAACCATTCGTATTCCGTTGGAAGCATTTAATAGACGTGAACGCATTAATGAAGAAGACAAAACTACCCTATCTAGAATGGACCGGATTATAGCAGATAAGTTAGAAGTTATACAATCCATAGGAAAAAGGGGAAGAATATTACATTTTTTGATAAAAAAAGAAATTATTTGTCGGATTGCGTTGTATGTAAATTTACGAGTAGCAGCAAATTTAGAATATAAAGGCGATTACTTGTTCACTTCTGGCAACGGACAATTATTAAATGGATACTCGGCCATTATGAAACATTTTACAAAATCTGGAGCTTCAAATCCTTCACTTTTAAGAGGTACATCTTTGAGAAAACAGGTCGCCACTGTGGCTCAAATGTTTAGTCTCAGTGACAATGACATCCAACAGATAGCCGACTTCATGGGACACGATGTTGAAGTACATAAAAGAGTATATAGAACACCTGAAAAAACACTGTTAATCACTAAAATGTCAAAGTACTTCATGGCAGCCGAGGATCTAAATATTTGTAAATATAAAGGAAAAACATTGGAAGCAATAGGAGACATGGCAGAAAAGGAATTTACTGAATATATGATATTCAGAAGATATTACCCCTGAAATTCAGTGGCGGCTCGTGACTGTCTGATGTGGTGAGGCGATGATAGAAGTTTGACAATAATAGTAATATTACTTGGTGTTACTAGTTAGTAATGATAGAAGTCTTGCCTGAATACCGGTCATTCCCGGGTCAGTGGTAGGTCCTAATAATAATAATAATAACACCCATAACACATTGAATCAACAATGTTTTTATAAGTAAAAATTTTGTTCAAAGTAGCACTTTCTTGGAGGGATTCGGGAATAGTTGTTGTGTTCTTTTCTAAATGTTTTAAGCCCATGAAATTTTTAATGTGTACTTTGGAACTTTCATGTAAATTTGCACTTCGGATGAAATTCTTTAAATCGTTATATCCCAGGATGTGTAAATATTACGGCAGAGCCATTTACATGTTTCGTAGGTACCAAGTTGATTTATAAGACTTGGAGTACTGACGATTCTGTCGCTTATCAATGGAAGTTAAATGAATTAACTATTTTGACTGCTCGATATTTAGCAAAATTTGTCGACGTTCTAGCTCGGTTCACTGTGAAAACGGCGTTTCAAGAAGCAACATGACGATATCGTACTCGGGATTTATTTTTCACTCACCTGTACCTATGAAAGAGACAATAACACAAAACACCAACACGTGGGTTTTTATTCACGTTCATGCTAATTACCCACGCACCCCGCAACCCTTACCGTTCTGTAAAATAAATGGAAAAATGGTTTAATGAGTACGCCGAAATTGGCCGAGAAGCACCGAAGATATCGCCTCAGTTCCGAGCGAACGCATGTATGGGAGTATAGGAGCTGAGCCATGGAAATCCGTGTCTGTGATTGGGCTGCGCTGGTTCAAGTGAACCGACGTTCTGGCCGCTTCAGCTAAAGAACTAGGGGCATAAATCGTACGGTATTCAACGGAAAATGTCAGCAGGAAGCATAAAAAATAAAAAATCATGTACAGATTTCCCATTTCAACATATTTTTGTAACTAAAAATGTATTGAAAACTCTTTTTTAATTATAAATTAAGTCAATCTGTTCTTAAGGTATATGCTGTGAGGCGTCGCCTCACTTGCCTCATCTGACGAGCCGCCACTGCTGAAATTGATAATTTAAGTGAATTACAAGAAGCGTTTACTGATGAAATGGAAATGGAAAATGCTGAACAGGTGTATTCACAAGATGCAATTGAGACTGAAAGTACGTATGTGCATCCTAATTTCAATTAGCTAGACTAAGGAAAGTAAATATTGTAGGTTTTGTACCAACCATACATTTGGAAAGACAAAACTTGATACCTGCATTGTCACAAATTCAAAACCAACCACAAGAAGCATTCATTGATGAAACAGAAACGGAAAATCCACAACAAGTATATTTTCAAAATACAATTGAGACTGAAAGTACGCAGATTTTGTACCAGACATACATTTGGGAAGAGAAGACTTTCCTGCACTGCCACAAATTCAAAGTAATGTACCAATGCGATCCCAGCCAGTACTAATTGAGTTTTGAAACCTAATTTATAGAGTTGTAATTTTAAGTAATTGATAAGATACATTTTCCGGTTAATATAAGTAAAATTAATTGAATTAGCCCTTTTTGTTTCTCATAAATCTCTGATAGTATTCAAAAATTTAATTTCTAAATGATGTTTTTTTTTTAATGTCGTTAGTGAAATAGATATAAGAAACGATTCAATTAAGGTGCTCTTTTCTAGAAAAGAAATTGACGACATATTCAACACCCACAAAAAGAACCACAAGACGAATAAAAACTATGTGGTCCCCAAGGGAGAAGGATCTGGTGAGGTCCCACTTCAGCAAGGAACTTCAAACGGGGAAATTACCAAAATTTTGTGACATACAGGCATTCATTAACGAGTCACGTGGGCAATTAAAGCCCCACCGAACAACGGCAAAGATATATGCTTGGATTCAGGCAGCGATAATGAGTTTAAGTTAAATTTTAAATTTTCTTTTTTAAATGTTTTGTGTTAAACCAGGATGCGTAATAAATATAATTACTCAACTGCGTTTTTTCATTACAAATTTACAATCGTGAGTTGTGCCACTAATGACACGTTATGTAAAGTCCTAATTTAGTGGTTTTTTTTATTTTATTGAAAAATCGAGCAGCCGCAATAGACTGGATCATTTCTGACATGTATATAAAATGTGTATAAGTTTTCATAGTTGTTAGAATATTAAAACTCATTTCAGTTTGATCGCTCTCACATTCAGTATTTGGTTTTTGCACAATATTTTTATGTCTAAACAAATATTTTTTTAGCATTTTTGAGGCAGGTAGTAGTAGTCAATTCTCTGGTTATTTATATCCTTCATGTAATTTTCAAAAAATGGTAAAATTGACTAAATGATTTGAATGGTTTGCGTTTTGACTGATTTAGCGTGGCACTCAACCAATAGCGACCTCATACGCAAAGTTTGTTAAGTTTATTAAAATATTTTTCCCGCTCCCACGCTGATCAGTATCGCGTATTCCAAAATAAAGTTTGTGCACCGGCAAAGCGTAACACATAATACAGGTTATTATTATTATTATTATTAATATTATTATAACGCGTTTCCGTATGCACTGTATTGTTAAACGCAAAATACCAAAACGACACCCACGCACTCCAGCTGTTCGAATATTTCGCGCACTGTATCCTAAGATATGCACCTAAGTTGTTGTGTGTATTTTCAAGTGTTCCAAGAGTCTCGTGGTGATATGCCGTTCAATTTAGTTTTTGGATATTAAGGATTTTGCAAACTTCAGATAAAGTACTACAAAGAAATTCACATCCTTGATCGGTGACAATTTCATTAGGTATTCCAAATCTTAATATGAAATTGTCTACAAATGCCTTGGCAACTGTTACAGCTTCCTTGTTTGGGATAGCATATGCTTCGACAAATTTGCTTAGCTCGCATTGTATAGTTAAAATATATCGGTTATTTTCAGAATCTTGTCCGAGTGGTCCGACTATGTCTAGAAAGATTTTTTGAAAAGCAGACTTAGCTGTTGTTGTGATTGACATTGGCTGAATATTTAGTTTTGAATATTTGATCCGTTGACAATCGTCACACTTTTGTACAAATTTTTCTACAGCTTTTCTTAATCCTGACCAATAAAAATATTTCTTGACATTATTATACATTCGATTTATGCCTGCATGGCCTCCTGTCGGAAGCATGTGAAAGTCATTTAAAATTATTTGTCGCATTTCTGGATTTTCGACAATTTGAACATCATTTATTATGCTGAGTTTTAAATTTAATTTCCTTACTTCATTTGGAGGTTTTATTAATTCATTTAAAATGTTGTGTGCACACATTTTTCTCTTCGTTATAACTATTTCCGGAATATTATATTTCGTAACAACTGTATGAAGATCTCTCAACGCTGCTTCTAAGGCACACGCCGATCGAGTTTCTTCTTTCACGTAAATTTCTTGCTCATCAGCTTTACATATTAAATTGCCTACTTTATAATCGTAAGTTTTATTGTTAACAGTTGTTTTAAATTCTTTTTTGTCTATTAACCTTAACTCAAATGATTGTGATGGACATTTTATCAGCTCCACTATTCCAGGGTGATCAAGTCTGTCATATGAAACCGATTCAACGTTTTGATTTTCAGGTTTTTTATTTTTGCTTTGCGCTCGAGTTATTGCAGAAATGGTTTCGGATACACCGTTTCCCATTTGTTTTAATTCGTCTGATGTTATCTCTATACGCGATAAAGTATCTGCTACTACATTGTCTTTTCCTTTTAGGTATATACTTGATTGTGAAATCATATTCTTGAAGAGTTAATCTAAATTTTGTTAAACGACTAGGTGGATCTGACATTCCGAATAAGTACACTAACGGTCTGTGATAATAAACTTTCTTCCAAATAAATATGGACGAAAATATTTTACTGCAAATACGATTCCTAATAATTCTTTTTCTATCGTACAGTATTTTGATTCGGCTGCATTGAGTGTTCTACTAGCAAAAGCAACTGGTTTATCATCTCCGTTACAAAGTACGGCTCCTAATGCAATGGAAGAAACATTCGTTTTTAAAATAAAAGTGTTTATTTCGGAAAAATTTGGATATTGCAAAATTGGTGGTTTTATTAGAGTTTTTCAATGTTTCGAAAGAGATTTGACATTTCTCATTCCAATCAAATTGTACATTTTTCCTTCAATTTTTAATATGTAATAGTTCGCAAAAGCTACAAATCTTTCTGCATCGTTTGCATTTCGCGGTATTGGAAAATTTTGAATACATTTAATTTTGTCTGGATCGGGCGATACACCATTAGCTGAAATTACGTGTCCTAAATACAAAATTTCTTTCCTTAAAAATTCACATTTGTTTGGATTTAATTTTAAATTAACTGATCTCATTCTTTCCAAAACTTTGATTAAATTTTTATTGTGATTTGCCAAATTATTACCAAAAACTATTAAGTCATCCAAGTATACAAAGCAACTTTCGTAATTTAGTCCCGACATAGCTATTGTCATGGCTCTAGAAAAACTTGAAGGAGAAATTTTTAATCCCATTGGCAGACGCTTCATCTGATAATGACCTCTGTCGGTAATAGATGCTGTAGACGGTCTACTCTCTGGATCAATTTCAATTTGATAAAATCCTTGGGACAGATCTAAATGTGAGAAATACATAGCTCCTGACAATGAATCTAAAATCTCAATGATAGATGGTAAAGGAAATTTATCGTCTTCAATTTGTTTATTCAATTCACGATAATCGATTACAATTCGCCATTTCTTTTCACCATTAGGACCAGATTTTTTCGGAAAAATTAATAATGGAGAGGACCATGCTGAAGACTTGGCCTCTTCGATTACCCCATCTTTCATCATTTGGTCAATTTGCGTGTGTATTTTACTTTTTTGTGATTGAGGAAGATCTTCTATAAACAGGTGTTGTGTTGTTTTGCAACTTAATACTCTGTTTATAAATGTTGGTCACTGTAAGAGTATCGTTTTCAAGATAAAAAACGTCTGAATACTTGGCGCATATTTTCTGAATTGACATTTCCTCTTCCTTATTCAAATTTCTCATATCTAAATTATTTAATAGCCTATCTACCCTATTTGCCGATTGTGGATCCTGGCAGGGTCGCCATGTAATAGATTGTGGATTGCCATGTAATAAACGTTGCTTTAATCTGATGGGACCACTTGAAGAATACCCACTCAACCTTTTAAACCCATTTATTCACTACCGATGTACATTCGTGACTTAACGCTTACTCTATAAATAAAAAGAATGCTTACTGTACAGCTGAAGCCAGTGATGAAGAAGGAGACGGTGATATTTCCGGAGAAGGGAGTGTAGAAGATATTTCTAATGAACAAACAAGTCTAGATATTTCCGATGATCTCCTAGCACTAGGAGAACCACTTTTTGAACCGTGACGGCCCCAATATTTCGACCCAGAGAAAACAGCACCCATGCAGAAAGTTCAGAAGAAGAGGACGATAATTTAGAAGCTGAACCTGTACATGATCATATCTGGACAGCAATTGGGAATGCTTGAGATAGATTTCAGTATACGGAACACAGGTATAAACTGTGATAGACTTCCAGACGCAGAACCTATAGACAGTAGACATGATAGCTTTAGAAAAGAATCGATACGTCGACCAAAAATTCAATGAAAAAACCATCAGGGGAAAATGTCGCGAAGATCACGAGATAAGTATTGTTGTTTATCAGAGTAAAGTAAGTTATTTCTTCATTTTATTGACGGCTCTGTAATGTAATCGAGTGCGTATGGAATCGTTTTTGAGTTACGCGAATTGCGCCTGCGGTAGGAGTTCGATCAAACGGCCTAAGGTTGCGGTGTAGTGGTTTTGTAGTCGCACTGATGACAGTGGCAGCGATTCGAAAAAACGATGTGTTGTGTGTTCATATAAGAAAAGATACTATTATGTACTGTGGTGCATCTTGTGACGTTCCACGATGTCCCGTGTCTTGTTTGGAAATGTATCACACCTTGAAAAATTATTGAAAAATGTATCCTAGAAATTATTTTCTTTTCTGAAAATGTTACAGATGTAATTGTATATGCATCATTGACGGTAGTTAGGTTGTGTTTTTATAATTATGTACTATGATACTATGAATTTCGTTGATTTTTCGGACACACACGAAAACTCGAAATATTCGATCTATAATATCCCACTATGTAAATATCCGCATCGGAATCCCACAGGGCTCCGTACTATCACCCATTCTATACCCCATATACTGCAGTGATTTTCCCATTACAAATACCCCCAGAACTAAGACGTGACGCCGAACGAGACACCTCCATCACACAAGAAGCACTTCGGTGATATGACGTGTGGGCCAAGAACTGGAAAGTAAAAGCCAACCCTACAAAATACCAGTTCACGTGCATGACATTGCATGACGAACAAACTCCACAACACAAAACAGTTAGATACTTGGGCATAACCTTTTCCGAAAATTGTTCTTTAATTCCAGACGTCTAAAATTCCATAAATAAAAATCCGACATCCCCAAAAACGAATTCAAACATGCACCTACCGTCCTCTTGGAGACCCTGTGTCCCGACCCAAACCAGGTTCTCCTAGGACTTTGTTGAGCAAACGCCGATTCCCCGTCCCCAACATTACTACTCCACATTCAATAGGACAAGACTGAGACCAGACCACACCCCGATACGACAACGCTGTCCACCAGGACGACACCTCTCTCCCTCCCTCTCTCAATGTTTCAAAACTCTGCAAGCGAGTGTCCCCACAAATCGTGACTTGATGAGCGACCAGCGCAAAACACTTAGAACAATGCTGGATCTAAAATCGCAGCCAAGTGCACCGTCAGTTCGGACACTATATCTGAGCTCGAGTCTGTACCGCCTTTGACGGCAAGCGAGTCGACAGAGAAACCCTACGCCATCAAACAGCTCAAGAACAAAGTGCCCGTTTTCCAAACGAAGAGAAAGGACACTTCCCCCTGCAGAAGAATCGTGACCGGTGAG